TTTTTCTTAATTTTCATCGAAGAATTGATTTTATTATGTGCGATTATTATTTAATTAAAGGCGGAAATTTAATTCTGAATTATTGAAAAAACTAGTTGATAGTATTTGAATAAGAATGGATGACTAATATTGTTATGTTCAATTTATTTAGACAGGGTAATAGGTATAATACTTCTATCACCGATAACCAGCTCTTATATATATATATATATATATATATATATATATATATATATATATATATATATATATATATATATATATATATTTCTTAGCAGTCAAACTTGTCAATTATTTTGTTGTATTCGTAATAATCTTTACAGTAAAAGCATAAGCAACAAACACTCATTTATCGTTTTTTTTTTCTACAGTTCGTTTTGTATAATCCATACACTACAATCCATTGTCAAGCACATCTAAATCTAGTTCTATTAGCCGCGATCTTACACTACTGAATGAAATAATGGCAACCCCTTTATTACCAAATCTCCAAGTTGACATATTCATAGTTTTTTCTATGGTAAGAAGTCGAGACTCCCCATTTCATTGAAATTTGCCCTAATTAGCGATAACATTATTTTTTGTCCAAAAAAAAACAATAACATTATCTAGACGGAATAAGAAAATAGAACAAGTTCTTAGTTTAAATAGTAATATACGTGTTGTGTAAAAAAAAAATAGTTACATACATGAAGTATGAATTACCAATAACTTTTTGCCTAGATTTTTACCAATATAATATAGCTTCTTTTTTTATTTTTCAATTGCTACAATATACATTGGAGAAATGGGAGACATAAGGATATTTTGGGCAATGGGGACTTCAAGACTTTGTGGAGATGAGCGAAAATTTAAATAGTCAGTGCTATGAGTGAAATGATATAATAGTATTGATCTCTTACTTCTACATATGAGAAGTTAAAAGGAAAGATTTAAAGTAAATTCACACGTTAATTATACGGAGTAATGATAAATGTTGTCTTGCATGTTTATTTATTATCAATTTAGGAAATTCTATACCAAGCAAAGCTTGGTTTAGTGGGAAAGTTTGCATCTCACAACTAAGAGGTTGTGGGATCAAACTCCACTAAAGGGACTTTGAGGTAGGGATTTGATGCAGTTCCAAGGCATCAATATTATCATTTTATTGTTTTTATTTATTTTTGTTGGGTTGTTTATTAATCATGAGGGATGTATGTAATACTCCGTATTTTTATAATATTTTTATACATATAAATTATTTATTTTATTTATATTTATAAATTAAAATGATTCATGTCATTTTAAAAAGAAATTAATTATTTAAATATTATTTGAGTGTGCATAAAATAATATGGGTCATTAATTGAGGCAATAAAAGTGTTTTGAATTATGTCATCTTTATTTTAATAGTTGGATCAACTTGTTGGGGAATTGAAGACAATTAAAAGCCCAACAAGTTGGCCCCAAAGGAAGAAGTCAAGGGGGGGTAGGATTTAGTAATGACAGTTTTGTACTTATGAGTTTTTGTTTTAAAAGGGGAGTATAAATACTTCAAAACCTCAAGATTTTTCACTCTAAAATCATAATTGTCAGATTTCACAAAAATTTCAAAGGTTTTCTCTTTATTTTCTCTCTCCTTTTTCTCCTTATTTTTCCTCTTTTTTCTCTTCTTTTTCCTCTCCTTCCCCACGCCTCTCTCTCCCTCTTCTTCTCCCCTTACGCCGGCAGCCACCGGCGCACCACCGGCGGCATGCAGCAGCAGCAGCCGGCAACACCGCCGGCCACCCTCTCATTTTGTTTTTGGTGTTTTGGTATTATTATTTAAAAAAAATTAAAAAAAAAACTCTTTTTTCTCTTCCTAATTTAATTCTATTGTTTTTATTAATTTAAATCATGATTTTGATTATATTTTGGTATTGATTTTGGGTATTTTATGTTGTTAAATTATTTATATAATTTTCAGATTTTTATTCAATCAAAAACCCCAATTTACAAACCCTAGAATTTGGGAATTATGTTTATGGTTAGGGTTTGATCCTAGGTTGATGTTGTTGTTTAATTAATGGTTTAAACATGTTTTTATTGAGTTTAAAGCCCTTAAATTAATGCTAAAATTTATCTATGCCACTACTTTTTAATTATTGAGTTAGGGTTTGATTACCCATAAAAGGGGAAAAGGTTTTAATGATTTAAATATGATTTTCTAGTCTATTAGTGATGTTTTATATTAAATAAGTATGCTGGAATTTTATTTAAGCCATAAAAATCAAGTCTTTTTGAAAAGATTTGAAGTACCCACTTAAAGAAAAAGTTTTATGGTTTTTATGTCATTAAATTGGGTTAATTAGTAAGGTTTAAAGAGTATTATAGTTGCTGGAAATTTGTGAGAATAGTAGATTAATTATACTTATGTATTCTTTTGTAGGAAGTTTTGAGCTAGGTGATTTTTAGCGAGTGTGGCCGAGTTTTAGGCATTATTCAAGGTACATATGTGCACAAGAATATTTGTGTATGAGTAGTATCATGCTAGGATTTGAAAAGTATGATTTAAGTAATGAATTAGTAGCATGTTTGGTTGATTATATGCTTGGAATTGATGTTGGTTGAGCATGATTTGTTATGCAACATGTGAATATGTTATTTGAGGCATGATACAAGTTGAGTATGTATGAAACATGGAAGTATGTTTTATTTTCAAGTATAAAAAAAGCATGTATTTAATAAGCAAGACTTATATATGAATTAAAGAGCTAAAGTTAGAATTATTGAGCATGATTCATGAATTTATTTCTCACCCATTTATTATTGGTGTTGAGTCAAGAAGTTAGCTTATTTATTTACTCACTCAAGTAAGTTGATTTTGAGTCAAGGAAGTTTAGTAGTGCATCTTATGGACCAAGGTAGTAATCGTGCAATTTTGTGCACAAAACTAGTCAAGGAACCTTAATTAAAATAAATAGTATGTGCTCACTAATTAATTCAAGAATGAATTGAAAGTATGTATTGATTGTTATTATGTTTGTTCTTGATTGATTGGTTTGAGTCATCACAAGTTAAATTTGTAAATCACGTAAAGTGTAAGAGGATATGCACCAAAACTCTTGGAACATATATACCTTGAGTATGAACATATGGGGGGAGGGTTATGGGGTTTTATATTTAAACATAGCTTCTACAGGGGTATAGGACGCTGTACTTTCTTTTATTATTAATGCGCTGGAATTCCGTCACCAAGTGTGACATAGTAGGTGCCAATTGGGGTAGCTCCCTGATTGAAAGCTCAATATTTAAATGGGCTATTTTCAAGAAAGGAAACTCGTTCGATGCGTAATCCTAAATTATTATTAATAATTAATGTTTCTAGCTATGAGTCAAAGGTAAGTTGATTTGTGATTGTGTGGCGAGCATGTTTTAATTATTATTTTTATTTTGATGCTAGGATATTCATGTTAGTGTGGTGCATATGTACTCAGCTTTGTTGATTCGTACTTTTGTGTTTGTGTTTGGCTTTCCTTTGGATTGGCCCAACTATGACCCATTTATATGGTGAGTAGAGGGTTGAATAAAGAGGAAGTAACAGGTACTTGAAGCATGATGGGATAGAGTGCGGAGAGTTACTTGTTATGTTTCTTAGTTTTAATAATTTTGAATTATTGGTTATTGTTTATGGACTAACATTATTATGTTTATTTTTAATTGGTTTTTTTTTTAAGACGGGTCATGTTTGAATTGGTTCCAACTTGTGGATGTTTTATTTTGCTTTTGTTTTGAGGTTGTGGACTCAAACTTTATTTTTTGAAAATTGGTTTGTATGTTTTAGACTTCCGCTGTGAGACTTTGAAAATTTGCCTTAGTCGTTATCACGATGGGGGTAATATTTTGGTTATTTCCTAAAAACGGTTTTATTTAGAGTAAAATGAGTATTTTAAAGGAAGGAAATTTCCAGGGTATTACGAAGTATGCCTATAAATAGGATTGATTTCTGTAATAAAATGAGTGAGCATATTGATTAAAACCGTGAGTTTTGAGTTGTTTCATAAGGGAATTCCATTGTTTTGCAGATATTGCACAATTCCTTAGTTGTTATTAAACCTTAGTTAGGAATTAATAATTTCACATCCTAGCTACAATTTGATCTTGTTTAGATTAAATTGTTCCACATCCTTATAATTTTGTTAACTCGTCACAAATTGTATGAAATCTAAACTACAATCCATCTAAGATCGGAATTTTAGTGTAATCAATTAAAAATTCGCATCAGGATTATCTTACCTTCCTCCTCCCCCTCCTTAAGTGCCTAACCCGGGCCGGGAGTACCTGTAAGAAGTTCCGGCCCGATAGGGCCCTTCTTCTTACAAAAAAAAAAAGGAAATTCTATATACGCATAGGCAACCATAAAAATTGTACAACAAAAGGACTAATTAGTAATTATACCCCTTGAAAGTTTGTCTCGTTTACAATAAGATACATATTACATTTATATCTCCATTTTCATTTTTTGACGAGAACATGCCAATAAATTATATTAAGGCTATATCTCCATTAAATATGTGGAAACGTTATAAAAACTAGATATTAAGTAAATATACAATGAAATGAATTCAATAAGATCGCGCAAAACTATATTATCTTTTATAGATTAATAAAAGGATTTTATGGTTAAGATTATGAAATGTTGATCCAAATGTTTATCAGGGGCAAAAAATAAGAGTACAAAAGGAGTACACAACTAAACTATGTTAATCCTCCATTGGACATACTTTAGGATTGTAGATGTAGGCCAACTTGTAACCTTTTTATAATTGTATTACGTATTAAATTAAAAAGGATCATTTAGCCCAAAAAGATAATGGTAGATCTGTAAATGGTAGTTATTATATTTCGGATTTTAGATGGAATTCCAACTATTAAAATCTAATTCATCCTACATCAAATAGGATTACATTTTGAAAAATTTTAAACTCGTATAAAACTTAACTTCTCAAAACCAACTTAATTCGAATCGAATTGGACCCAAATTCAAACCGAACACCAAATATACGACCCACCCCAACTTAGAATTAGGACGGATGGATATAGGCTACCGACACGTGTCATTTAAGTTAATCAGAATTTTGACCCCACACAGTGGCAATCTGACTTCCTGTCTCAGGTTGGGCAGGACTCAACTTCCAATCTTCCATAGCTCACAAACAACGTTACATATAGAGAGGAGAGAGAAAGGAGCTTTCAAAATTCAGTGCTTCAGGTAATTAACCTCATTGTATGATATGATTATATCTTGATTTTTCATCATTTACTATATTAAAAGACATTAAACTGTTTATACTTTTAATTTGTAATTTGATTTGTTGTATTTTCTTGATTTTTTTTTTCTCTGTTTTAATTCACATGCAATTTTAAAACATTTCTAGACATTTGTGTTTTTTATTTTTTGGGACATTGGAGATGCAACATTTTATTTACGGAGTAATAGAGTATTTTAATTACTAACTTGTTCATAAATTATTGAACTTTTAATTTTGTTTTGATGGAAAATGATTCACAATAATGTAATGTCAGAAATTTGGATGGTGTGAAGGTAGTTTTTTTGGGTCTTTAATTAGTAGTTAATTGACATTTTAATGGAAAGATTTAGATATTTTGTTATACCTAATAATTAAATTAATAATGTAGTGGAAAAAAACGAAAAAAAAAAAAATTAGAGAGAGAGAGATTGAAATTAGATTACTATGTTGGGTTTTGCATTCAAAAGAATCAAAACACAGGGTTAGACTCTTTTGTCATCACTTGATCTGATTTTCAGTTAATTCGGGAATAATAAGTTTAGATAGGTTCGATTCAAGAAAAAAGAAATCAGGTGAGTCAACTTTAGGAAAATTACAGATTTTGAAGTTCCAATTCGCAGCTACATTAAGTTCTAATAAGATAATTAAGAAAAATAAGTTGATTTCATGGCTATTAAAGTAAAAAAGCTTAATAAATGAAAATCAGGTGAAGAGAGCACATCGTTAATTTCCTTAGTTGTGTATGTCAAAACATAGCTTGTTACCGCTGTCTGTGTGTAGTTGTTAAGAAGGTAGTATATCTTGGTCAATCAGATTTGTGAATTTTTGTTTACTGTTAGTCATTTTCTGCTTTTTACCACCAAAATTAGCACTAAATTGACTGGATTTAGTTTTGACACTTCTAAGCAACTCTGGCTTCATATAAATGAAGACTGCGGATTACCACTAATGCAAGGCATGACGGGCATGATGTTGCAATAAATTTTAAACATGCTCCATAAACTCCAATCAATCCAGCCTTCTTGTCATTCATGAGCACTAATTAGAGATAGAAGTATTATTCAAACATAACATAGAAACTTCAGAGTTGAGTTTACTTATTTCAACTTATATATGTAAGTGACAGAAATTGGCTCAGTATTTTTCTACTTTGGTTTGCACAGTTACCAGCTTACCAGACTGGCTGCGATGGACAACAAGCGTAAGCTTTCATTTAAGAAAGCGTCCTTTATAAAGGTTCTCGAGGATGAGTTCACCAAGAAGCTGGTACTTCTCTTGCAATGGATTCCTCCAAAGTAGTTTTAAAATGTGAATTAGTGCTACTTGTTCAGCATAACTATTATGACATACTTATATAGTGTGAAGTTATTAAAGGCCAAATCTATCAGCCCTTCCATCAAGTTATGATTTTTGGTTGATAAGCTTATATGAAATTACCCTGAGTTCAGGCATTTGAAATTTACAGAAGCTCTCAAGACATTCTAGCACAGTTACTCACAGTTGTTTTGCATTTTTTTTTTTTTATGGGGACATGAAAATAGAGGAGGCTGAGAAGGAGCTAGCAATGATAGAAAATGAAATGACTTTATTTTACAAAAAAAATGCTGTGTTAACAAGATCAAATGAATATTTCACATTAGACAGCTACCTTTTCGACAACTCAAAGCATTTAAATTTAGATAGCATAATTACGACAGAGTTCTGGATTATGGACTCTGTCCAAAAGGAATAGTTGTTAAAAAATTAATGATTCCACATTTTTAGTTGAATATCTTGATTATTTAGCATCAAATTCATGCAAATTTCTCTAATGAAGCTCCCAACTTCAGTGGGGTAAGGGGGATCAGATATTCGGATACATTCAGCCTTACCCTTGCAACTGTTGCAAGCAAAAACGGTTGTATCCACCCAACCCTGAACTGATTGTCTGACTTTCTGCTAAACAGTAATAACCATGGGTGTCATGAACCAACAATTACTATAACTTTACATTACTATAGCTTAACATTGCTTCTAATCTGTTCTTGTAGCCATTACCCCCTGCTTTCACTAAGATCTTTGAAGATTACATACCACTGTGGCTCATCTTAGAGATTTCTGGAACCAGAAAATGTTGGAGGGTGGACATAGAAAAGGATGAAAATGGCAGTTTGTGTCTCAGTTGTGGTTTTAATTGCTTTGTGAAAGCACATTCTGTGGAAGTTGGAAACTTCTTGCTCTTTGAGCTTGAAGAACCATCAATTCTCCAAGTGAAAATCTATGAGAAAGATGGGTCTGAAAAAACAGTAGGAACAACTCTTGAGTCAGGGTATGAAGTTGGAGCCTTTGAATCTCCAAGAAAAACTCCGTCAACCCATAGAGAAGGAGAAGCAAGTCCATGGCCTACAACACCTTGTAAGTCAATTTATGCTAACATTTCCGAGTAAGAAGCAGCCCTAGTTATTTTACATGTTTTGATTTTGATCAAAGAATTGTTTTGGCGTCTTGGTGTATTGGTCTGAAAAAATCAGTAGGAACAAATTTTGAGTCAGGGTATGAAGTTGGAGCCTTTGAATCTCCAACAGAAACTCCGCTAATCCATAAAGAAGGAGAAGCAAGTCCATGGTCTAAAACACCTAGTAAGTTGTTTTACTACTAGTTCAGCTAACATTTCCGAGTAAGAAGCAGCTCTAATTGTTTACCTGTTGTATTTCTGATCTAAGAACTGTTTTGGTATCTTGGTGCGTCGTAAGCTGTTCAAAATGGAGCATATCAGATGCAGCCGTCCTTTATTGACAGGAGCACGAGGAAAAAATGTATATTGTCAACTACTAAACATGGTTTGTGTTTCTCTCTGACCTGGAGAAAGGCCAGTCACTTAACTTATTATCTGGTAAGTTACTTTCATATTAGAACTGTATCAACCGCATCCCCATTCTTTTAGTTTGTAATCTACATTTTAGGAAATATTAAAGAGTGAATATTATTCAGGCAAAATTGGTTGGAACAACACAAATTTTTATTTGGGTGCTCTCAACAGCACAAACTTTAAGTGGAGTAATGGGGGTTGTGTGCCGTAAATGATACAAATGTTTTCCGGTGCCGGAGATTCAACCAGATTCCAGCTTATTTTTTTATTATTATTATTAAATTAACTCACGTTCCCCTTCATGTGACTAATCATATGAGAAAAAATAAAATAAAATAAAATTAAAATAACAGAGAATTGAAGATGTTTCAGTGCTTGTAATTGATCATTTTATTAAAGTTCTGACTTTAGTTAAGAAGAAAGGAGTTAAACCAGAGGTTTTTGGGTCCTACATAGCCTACTGGAGCTTGGTTAGATTTGATGTTTTGAAACTTGTTTGATGATGAAAGTGGATGTCGCTTATTGTTTAATCTGAAGAAAAGAATTGCCTCAACCTTGGACAAATCCCAATCAGACAATTACAAAGAATATAGTAGTCACGTGAAGGGGAGGGGGGTTAATTTAATAATAATAAAAAAGGGAGAATCCTGGCACCAGAAAATATTTATGTCACTTGCGGCACCCAACCCCTAAAGTTTTTGTTGTTCATTGCTCCATTTAAAGTTTGTGTTGTTGAGCGCACCCAAACAATTGTTTGTGCTACTCTAGCCAATTTTGCCTATTAGTTAACCTTCGATAACAAAAAGTCGAAGTATGTGAAAAACCGTTAAGTTACTTTGACGTAGTCATCAAACCATGCCAGTGTAACTTTAGAATCACCCATTTCAAAAAAGTTGTAAGAAAATGACAGCCAAATCTGTATTTTTTAACCCAAAATTTTTAGTACAGTCATGGTGGGGGTAGAGGGACTATGATTCTATACAACATAGCCTTAATTTAGATTTTAAACATTCTTTATGATGAATTGAGTAATGGAAAGCATAAGTGAAGAAAAGTTGATATGTAGACAATTCCAAAGCCGGTGCTAAATGGGAAGGCATTATCCAACAAAGAGGCAGTAACACTCCAGAACCAGGAAGGAAGTAGCTGGCCAGTGGAGTTGAGATTCAGGGCAGATGGTCGTGTGGATTTAGCAAAAGGATGGAGGGAATTTGTGATAGACAATGAATTAATAGCTGGTGACACACTGACCTTTGAATTTGTGTCAAACAATGTGATTCAAGTTAACGTGGATCGGGCTTCTCAAGTTGACAATCCTTCTCAAAGAGAACAAGAATGCAAAATTGAACCCATGGAACTTATTGATATGACATGTGAGTTTTGTAGCAATATACAATCTTCTTCTTCCCTGTATTAATCCTAATCTGTCTGTCAGATTTTGGACTGTTATATTCTTTAAACAAAAAGACCTTTATCATCAAAATCGATAAAAGAATAAAAATCACAGATACGTAGAAGTAGCTAAGAACGGGTCATGTGTATAGGTGAAAATGAGGAGCTTGCTGCTAACTGTATCATCAATACCAATACACCCGTAACCATGGATAAATTTGAGAGAGTTTCCTTGGAATCGAAAAGCCCTTCATTCTCTCTAACTTGGACGGAGAAAACAAGAAATTCTTATTTGGTAAGTTCTCTCAGTTTGCCCTTTTTTCTTAATTATAATGTCAGAAACCTTGTGCATGCCATGACATGTTAATTTTCTTGCTACAGTATCGATGTGTTAGCCGTTCAGTTAGATGAATATGAATGTCATCAGGTGTTGAAATTGATATGGTCATCATTTGTGAATTTTTGGGTTTAAGATGACTTCCTCTGATTGTCTGATGGAAACTAATGTTGCTAAACATGTGTCTTAGGCATAGGACATTTTCTCTTCAACAGCATATCAGCAGAATTTACTTGAAAACTTATACTCCTTGATGTGCAGCATATTCCGAAGGCAATTGCCAGCAGGCAGAAGTTGGAGAACAAAGACATATTAGTGCTATGTGATCCAGAAGGAAGGAAATGGCTAATGGAAGTTAGAACCAGACAATCAGATGGTCGTGTTGGATTAGGCCGTGGATGGATTGATTTTACAAAAACATATGGATTTGGTGCTGGTGACACTTTAATTTTTGAGTTTGTGACTGACCGTATGATGAACGTTAATATAATTAAAGTTGGTGGATTGAACCATGCTGTTACAGGAGATATTGATAACGCAACAAGTGTTGAAGCTTCACTAATTGCTCAGAAGAGTCAGAACTCTCCATGGGGATCCAATGTGCAAAGTCTTTTCTGAAAATTGAAGTGATGAGATCACACATTCGAACAAGTAGAAGAAGTTCATGGTTTCCTGTCATTTTGACATGTATATATACTAGGTACAAACTACCTTTTGAAGCACTAGTTGCCTGGGCAAAGACCTTATGTCCTTAGGGCCAGTATTCATGGATAATCACTGGTTTCCTTCGTGAACTTTGTACTTTGTCTTGGTGCTTCATGTTCAAAAACTTTAAAGGTCATTTCATGATGCAGCTGAATCTTGTTTATTTGGCTATTCAAGTTTTCATTTCGATTTACCTCCAATGTCACTGTTAACAGTTGAACTGTTTAGATTAATTGTCATCGTCTCTACTAGTCTACTACATCACCGTGTTCCTTTTAATCCCCCCACCCCCACCCCTTTCCTTTATAGGTGCAGATGAAGATCGGAACAAGAAATATTATTGACAAAATTTTAAAAGATCTCTAGTAAAGTTATGCTGCTACAAACAAGTACTTTGTATCATAACTGTAGTTGATTTACCTAGAATGGGTACTTAATTTTACAGGACGTGATATGTGAATGTCACTCACCACGAAGTTTTGTTATATTAAACGGAGTAATACAAGAAAGATAAACGAAACCAACAAAAGAATAACACACGGAATTAACATGGTTCACTAATATGCATTGGGTAAGTCCATCGGACCAAAGATGCGAGTTTTATTGATTTTGAGAAAAACTAATTACAAAAGTAGTCTAGATTTAGATTAAGGGATTAAATTACTGCCAAAATAGGAATAAACCTGAAATGTAAGCCTCAACAAAAAAACCGTATGCCCAATAAAATAAGGGCTGTGGATTTCAAGGGCATACTCCAACCGACCAACATGCTACACTAGCCAACAATTATACAAATAATACAACAATGTATCACACAATGGTTCATTGGTTCCCAAGGAGGCGAGCAAGCAAATTATCGAATTATGTACCCCATTATTCCCTAAATAATAGGCCACATTTCAAAGGAATTGGCCCCATTATTTGTCTGAAATATTTCCATATGCAAATCTATCATACAATACCAGAGAGATTCACAGGTACACTATAGACGAGCCAATACCTTATTATCGGTGCTATCTTTACCAAGAAAGGGGTAATCAGTGTAACCCACTACAGGATCCTGGGTGTAGAATGTTTTCCGAAGATATCTATTCAAGGGAGAATTAACCTTAAACCTTTCGACCAAATCAGGATTCGATATAAAAAAGCCTCCCAAAAGATACTAAATCAGCGTCACCTTGAGCCACAGCCTCCATCCCAAGTTCCCTGGTGTATCCACCACTGCACATAAAAGAACCCTGATATGCTTTCCTCAGAGTTCGAATAAGCTGAGCTTCCTCTTCTTCGCTCCCTTGTCTAGCTGACTCGGTTTGGCCATATGCAACATATCGAGGCTGAGTTACATGAAGATATGTAAGCTGTGAGTTCAAATCTAACTGGAGTTTGTTGAGACACATGACCACAGTAAGGCCAAGTGCAAGAGGATTGGAGTCTGAGGCATCAAGGTGATCTATTGCTGGTGAGATCCTTATAGCAACTCTATCAGCTCCAATGGCTGTAGCCACTGCATGAACCACCTGAACTAAGAATCTACAACGGTTAGTAAGGGACCCACCATACTCGTCTGTGCGATCATTGATACCATCTTTTAGGAATTGGTCAATGAGGTAGCCATGGGCTCCGTGGATCTCCACTCCATCAAAACCTGATAATGACAGTACAAGCATTATATGGCTGAATTTTTTGTAAGTTCGTCGTCCATAATTGCTAAATTGTATACTGTATACTTCAAGTCGGCCTTGAAGACCATGACAAATTGATAAGAAACACTCTACAATTAGTGGTGACATTAACAATCCTAATAATAAGATACATCTTCCTTTTTAAAATTTAGCAATATTTCTCATGTTACCCTGCATATATTTTGAAATCTGCTTGTTTCCAAAGGTAATCTAACAGCTAATAAGGCCAGAGAGGTAATCTTGACAAAAAAGCATAGTGATTATATTTCATTTGTGAAATGACTGACACACACTCACACAGGTCTCTCTCACACACACACACACACACACACACACCAGCTAAACAATCATTAGAAGACGATGAACCTGCTTGAATGGCATTTATGGCAGCCTGACGATATTGCTCAACAATCTCAGGTATTTCATGGGAAACCAGGGCTCGAGGAGCAGGGTATTTTTCTGTAGACCCATCTGGCATCAGAATTCTCCATCTATTTGATATCGGCTTATTTGTTGAAGAGATTGGTGCCTTGCCTCCAGGTTGGTACACTATATAGAGCAAAGATCTTTGATATTTAATACAAAGAAAAAATTCGAAAATAAAGCAATAATGCTATATTATACGAGTAATTTATAATTATAGAGTGTGATTAGTGAACCTGTATGGGAGGCTCGACCAACATGCCACAACTGACAGAAGATGACTGCACCCTTGGCATGAACAGCATTAACCACTTTCTTCCATGCTTTGACTTGCTCATTAGTGTAAATTCCTGGGCAATGGGGAAACCTGCAGCATTAATTCCGTTTTGTCAGACAGACGGCAGTAAATTTTTTTGTCAGAAAGACCATGATATGTACACAGACGGTGAACTAAAAACAGAAGAACGTAACTAGCTAACTGTTAAATAAGAGAAATTGAAGAAAGCAAACATAGGAGGGAAACATGAAAACCAATTTGATTTTTCTAGTCTGGATTAGTTAACTGATAATTTCTCAAGTGCACAGTTGCTAGAAGAGACAACGCTACCATATGCCTTAGAGCCAGGGACAAAGCTAGGAAAGGGGTGGAGTATGCCTCACTACTGATTCCCACCTCCCCATCTCAGCTTTATGGCCCATCTATTTCTTAAGATGGCACGAGATTAAGCCTGTACATTTCACATTCCAGAAAGGCAGAAACAGCAAATTGCTTCTTTTTTATTCCACTCTTGATTCATATATTCACTAATATATTACACCAATAGCAATTAGTGTTATACCAGCTTAGTTTGCAATTTGCTGTTGCAATTCGCATTATAGGAGCAGGCAACAGCAAAGTAATATGTCCACCACAAATAGCTTCAGGTAACATCCAGTTAGCATAATAGCAGCATTATAGATTCTGTTTTTAGCTGCTCAACTATAGAGGTTTCTTTAGCAAATCTTCTATTCAACTCTAGCTAATATTACAATATTGAATTATTCTATCCAGTGTTGATTGCTAAATTTCTAAATTTTAAGGTTTAGCAAAGTCAAAGAGAGAAATAAAGAGGATGTATCAACATTCTACATTCAAATTAATTAAACCATTTTAATTGTTAAAGTTCTCAGCTTTTTTTACCCTCAACTTTTTTTTCAGAACTCTTTTCTTAATATATCATCAAACCTCCTCTTAAATTTCTAATTGTGCATTTGTGCCCCTACTTTAGACATGCAACTCATATTTTCTCAATATCAATAATCAAAATAATTATTATAGAGTATCATTTGATTAATCTATACCTAGTCTATAAAAACACGAACCTACAAGTCATGTACTTGTATTACTAGTAGCATTGCTACTAATTTCTTCCAGAGGTAGAATTGCTACTTATTTCTTCTATTGGTAACTATGGTTAATAGATGTCACCATAAACAAAAACTTTTATTAATAATGTCAACTTATGTAAAAAGTCAAAAGTACATAGCTACTGATTTTGATATATTTTAAAGAATCAAAACTTGGCTATCAATGATAAAAGTCAAAAGCATACGACTTGGGATGAGAATTTCCCAAAAGTAAAATGAAAACCAAAACTAATACGAAGTAGTTATATTTCATCAATTGGCTATCATTTGATAGATGATTCTAATCTAGTCTTATGACTTTTGACTACCACAATTTTTTAAAATGGACGGTTGAGATTATTTGTTTTTTTATTTATTTTAATTAGTAATTTAAAATAAAAATAATTTTTTAATTATTTTAAATATATTTTTATCTTCGAGAAATTATTTTTAAATATTTTTGAAATTCTAGAAATAAAAAATATATATAAAACAATAAAATTACTCATTAAAGATAAATCAAAAGTAAAACAATCTCAGCCGTCCAATTTAAAAAATTGTGATAGTCAAAAGTCATAAGTGTACATTAGAATTTTCAATCTGATTATTCGTTGCACGAGTCATAAAGCTAGTTAATTTTGTTTTCTCTACCCTATACATCACCTTCCCTAAAGTTATGTTATGTGTTTTTTTTTTAAAAACCATTGCATGAGTCATAAAACTAGTTTATAAATAAAAAATAAAAACACTCGAAAAAAATTCAAATCAATTGTAACATAATGCATCATAACAAACAATAATCTACTACTGTACAATTCAGATAATCTTCACAAACAATGTTATGACAAATCATCACATGATTCATACTCAAAAATATATAAATTATAAGAAAATTAAAAATACCCAGGAGCAGTAGGGGAAATGAGTGTCCCCTCAGAAATCAAGAAACCACCAGGAGTAGATCGCTGAACGTAATACTCTTTCAACGCATCGTTTGGTATCTCATTTATCGCCCTACATCTTGTCATAGGCGCCAATACCACCCTACAACAAATAATAATAAACGCGTCATTACTCAAAAATCCGAGATCAAATTCCATCTACATCATATAATACTCGAGACGGAAAGTAGTTAAAAAAGTACCTGTGGGAAAGAGAGAATTTGCCGAGTTTGTAAGGAGAAAAGAGCGATGCAGCTGAATCATTTACTTCATTCTTGTAACTTGCCATAACTGAATCAAGATTTTCTGCTGAGTTAAGAGAGTAAAGTTGGAGCAATTGAGTCAATGAGTCGTGGAATGATAGTCATAGTAGCAGCCAATTTTGATTGATGAGAGAAAAGGAGGTTATATGGTGTGGTCAAGACTAGATTAATTATGTGGTCGGTGGGTGAGAGATTTGATCATCGAACGGTTGAGATTAGATTGATCATGGTTGTATCTTGTATGGAATTTTAAGGATTGAGATGTTAGATAGGGAGAAGGGAGAGTGAAGTAGTGTAGTTATTGGACAAAAAAGTGGAAAATATAGTGCATTGGGGACTTGGGGTATTATTACTCGCATTAGTTGTTTTACAACACGTGGTTTTAATATCATTTCCCAATATGGTGTGTGGGAACTTGAGAGGACTCGTAAGTCAACACTAGTGCACAACTCTCGATAGCTTACACTCCATCCGGTTTTAAAAGATTGTTTCATGGAGTACTAATTAGAGATGGATTGTTGATTGGAGGTGGTCATGGGGCGTTTGCCCCAGGTTTAAATCTTTGAAAAAGTTTTTTCTGATTTCCTCTAAAATTTCTTCTATGGAAGTGTTTTTGTAACGTCCATTACTACATTTTTGTTTTTTTTGGAAGGTTTTGTTTCACTCATTTCTCTTTTCTCTCCTTCTCTTTCATCTCTTTTCTTCTGGTCTTAATTGTGAATCTTTGTACGGACTTTCACCGGTATTTCTACAGGTGGTAAGCACCAAAAACTTTTTAATTGCTTTCAATAAATGAATTTCATCTTTAAGATGATGGTTATTCTATTATGCTTAATTTCTTTATTTGTTCGTCTGCCAAGAATTGAAAATTTAGGGTTTCATAATCTCCACAAGTATCTACAAGACCATATGAGTATTTTCACTCAAACAACTATTCATCAGTGGATTTCAAGCCAAATTAATACTAACTCACAGATTGTATTGTTTCGGACAAAGTTTTTTATTAAGGAGATCGTTGGTCGAATCTGCAATGTAATCAGTTCTAATATGATTTGTACTTGTGTTGGAATTTTAGATTTCATAGGAATTATTTGTAAGTGTCGTTTGGCTATCTTTTATTAATGAAATCCTTTTTCTTCTTGTTAAAAAAAAAAAAAAAAAAAAAAAAAAAAAAAAAAAAAAAAAAACCTCCGTGCACTTGAAGATCTCCCTACATGATTTGGACAAGCTTAAGGAAAGAAAGGGAGTTGTTTCTCTATTGCCCCAATTAACTGTTTTTTTTTAATGAAGGTTTGCACCTTCATTCGCCAAGAAATCAAAAATCCCGATAGTGACCCCTCGCAATCAAGTATTGAGGGAAGCAATGATCTCAAGTTCGACTTTCAAAGCATGTGATAGCCCATGTGATATTCTGTTGAGAAAAATCATCGAGTCTGGAAGTAGAGAATAGATTAACCTTCACAATTACAGAATACATGTTGAAACTTGAGTAAAGCATTGAAGCCTTTGAAGGTGATTCCCCAATAGTGAGTGAACAAATCAAGGATAATGCATTAAAGGAATGGCCAGCCAACCTTGGAGCAAAAGGAAGGGAATAAATTCCATAGTTAGCAACAAGGAGATTTAACCTTGGAGTGAAAGGAAGAAAGTATGTTGTGAAGGGAAGAGATTCAACCAACTCTTAGCCGGAAAGCCATGATGGCCTAGCTACTACTATCAAAAGTAAGATAATGCAAAACAACTCGTACAGGATAGGCTTATGGGTTTGTAGTTATGTGCTTACAAGGATAGGCTTTGAGGTCCAAAACCTAGGCATTGAGGCTATGAAGAGAACCATGGATTTGCTTCTTTATTTTTTCCATTGCCAAATAAATAAATATATATATGTTAATGAGAACCTAGTATATAATGGGAACTAGGAACCAATGAAGACTGTCAGATCTAATTAAAAAAGGCGCGCGATCAACCGCCCTAATTCATTCAGACATTTTGAATGAATTGCACGAAAAACTAAGCGCGAATTCTCTCTCCTCTCTCTCCTCCGCCATTTTCTCTCTCCTCAAGAACGTTGAAAATCTTTGAAAAACCGCCATAACCACCATTGATAACTGCTTAATTACGCTATATTAGCACAATTTAAGTTCCATTATCTACACTTCTTCAGTTTTGGGAAAAAAAAAATTAAAAAAATTGGTGAAAATTGATGAAAGTTTAGGTATACTTCGATACTTTGAAGTTAATACAATTACGTTTATTTTTGTAGCAATTTCTAACTTATTTTTGTGTTTTAGGTTAAAATTTGTTAAAATTGAAGTAAAAGAGATCGAAGTGTTTCGAAGTTCAAAATGCTAAAAAATCAGGTATTTTTCTTGAATTTTTTTGTATTTTTTGAAATTGAAGTAGAAGAAGTTCAGTCAAAGTTTTTTTGTTATAATTTCGTTTGATTTAGTTTTGATTTGTATTTTTGATTTACTTTTTTGAAATATATCATGTTTCAAAGTGATTTCTTACTTTCAAAATGATTTTGAAGTTCAACTTGGATGAATTTGTTTTAATTCGTTTTATTTACTTTAAATTTGCGTGTTTCAGTAAATTTGTGGATTTATTTGTGTGTTTGAGTGTGTTTGTGTAAATTTTTATCTACATGCAATTATAATCATGTATTTGTTTGTGTATTTAGCAGTTTTTTTTAGTGATTTCTAGATAAATTTGTTCAAATTTCATTTGATTTACTTTAAATTAGGTTAGAAATTTGATAGAAATGTTGTTTAAGTATATGTTTGAGTAGCTTTGTATAAGTTTTAGATGTGCATGCAATTATAATTGTGTATTTGTTTGTGTACTTTGGTATAAATTTGGCGCAAAACAAATAGATCTTCTGAAAAATTGATCTTCATAATGTTTTGTTTATTGTAAATGTTTCAGTTTTAAAAGTAAATACATAATAATTTAAAGTTAGTGAAATATTTATATAATAATTTTATAATAATAATGAAATATTTAAATTGATCCTCATAATGTTGTGTTTAAAGTAATTATTTCAGCTTTAAAAGTAAATAAATTATGCTTTAAAGTTAATGATATATATATATATATAATAATTTGATATGACTAATGTTTCATTTTAACAGATTAAAATGAAGAAGACTTCAAAGAAAACTGTACTGTTGCAGCTGCAAAGAAATCTTCAAAGGTTTCAGCTGAAAGAAATCTATAAAGAAAGCTCATGTAGCAGCTACAAAGAAACCTCCTGTAGCATCTACAAAGAAATCTCCAAAGAAGGCTCCTATGTTAACTCCAAAAAAATCTCCTGTAGCAGCTACAAAGAAACCTCCTGTGGCAACTCCAAAGAAGTGTGTTGCACCTACGAAGAAATCTCCAAAGAAACCTGTTGAAGGTATGCATATTTGTGTAAATTTATATACATTGTTTAGATTTATTAATCTAATTTTTTCACTTCAACAATAGAAGGTGATAAGGATGAAAAGCTGTCAAAAAAAAAAAAAAACAAATATTGATAATGAGGAGGCTAAAGCAACTTGAACCTTTAGAAGGTTAAACAAAATTAATTATTGTCATATATAATCAATTGGGTTAATATAATTGATTTACTTTAACTGATTTTTTGTTTACTTTAATTGCTTTCTTTTTTTACTTTTAAATTTTATTGTTTTACTTTTAATAATGAATTACTGAATGTTGTGTATGGGTGTTTGGTTAACAAAATTTAAATATTTAATTATAGGGATGTTTATTATGATGATTTAGTTTTAGATTAATATTTGATATAATATGTCATGTTCAATGTTTGATTCTTCTATGTTTACTATGTTCTCTTTAACATCTATTTAGAAAGTAAATGGTTTGTCTTTAAAAGTAAATAGAATTCTATATAATGTAAATAAAAAAAAAACTGATATAAGATTTTGTTTATCAAGATGCATGGACCAAAAAAAGATAAGCAAAATATGAAAAAGATGAAGATGATTATGAACCAGAAGATGATGAAAAAACTGAATCAGAAGATGAAGAAGAGTCTGAATCAGAAGTTGAAGAAAAGGATGAATCAGAAGAAGAAGAAAAGATCAGGAAAAGAAGAAACAAATAAGACAAAACCTCGTCTAAAGAAGAAAATGAAGAAGGAGAAAACTAGAAAAAAAAACGTGAAAGAAGGTAGAAGAAGGAAAAAGCATAAAACAGATAAAGAAGTGGAGGAAGTTGTGGTTGTAGATGATGATGAAAGTGATGTAGATGACGGTGGTCATATCATAAAAAAAAAAAAAAAAAATACACTGCAGACCCAATGTTGTTTTCGATTTGATAAAAGACTTTAGTGAAGATCAGAAGAAGGATGTGCAAAGCATAGACTTTGGAGGTCTGTTTGAGTTGAAACAGACTCAAGTTCAGAAAAAAATAATACTTCCTTGGCTATGCCATCACTTCAATGAAAAGAGCGCCATGTTCAAAATTGATTTGTTAAAGGAGTTCTCTATAACAAGTTTTGATATTCATGATATCTTCCTGCTTCCCCATGTCATGCAAAACCAATTAACATATCAATTAAGGAAGAAAACTCTAGGAGATTTGAGGATGAAAAATGAGTAAAAGAACAAGCTGGAAATTCCTGAAGAAAATGATATAACTGTGAACAGTTTGGGGAAAAAAATTCCGAGCCTAAAAAATGGTGGTGATGATTTCAAAAGGTTTTTTGTTATGTATGTGTGCAACACCTTTCTTGCACCTGTTGCAAATAGGGTTATTGATTAAAAAATATTGGAGTATGCTGATGATGTGAATGAAATAAAGAACCTGGATTGGTGTATATTTGTTCTCAATAACCTTTGCAAAGCAGTTGAAAGGTGAATAAGAACAATGAAAAAGAATCAAATGGTTGTGTAGTTGTGCTTCAGATTGCCTACTTTCACCCCTTGTTTTTAGAGGCATCCATGAACTACCAATACAGCCATTGATATAGGACGGATGAAAAAATTAGAAGCAAAATAGCAAAGAAAGCAAAGACCAAATTTGGTCAAGGAGAACTTGTGAAGAATGTTTATCCAATTTGTATAAGGGATCCACCACTAACAAAAGTTTAAGGTTACGTTATTGAGACTTCTTACCAGCATTTCACAGACAAAGAAAGAAGATATATTACTTTGAACATACCATCCAATCTGATGACAAATACTGAAATATATCAAGCTGCTCGTGATGTAAGTATTATTTCTTCTATTAAATTTTATTTTTTCAGCTAATAAACCATGTTTTTGGTTCTATGACTTTATATTTCTACCTAAATTAAACATATATATTGTAAACACTAGCTTTAAAGTTGAGAGTAAGAGTAGAGTGTAATATATAAAATGATAGTTTTTAAAGTCAAGAAAGCAGACTTAAAAGTTAATAATTTACCTTTAAGGATAAATAATAATATTTTCATAGTTGTTATAACTATGGTATATTCATAATTTGCAGGAAGTTGAAGAGGATATGTTACTGTTGCAGAGAGATTCAGCTCTATTTTCATTGTTACATGCTAAAAGGGTGAACTCTATAACAGATAGGCTAAAAAAAGCTAAAACAGGTCCATCGACATCAAAAGGATCTCCATTAGTTTCTCAAACTCAGAAACTTTTAGAAGACCCTAGGATTCAAAGAGCTCCAGATGAAGTTGTTAAGATCTATGATGATTTGAAGGATGTTTCAAATGTTTTCTATTCTACTTGGGAAGAGCAAAATAGGAAGGAAAACCCTGAAAAGAATGTTCAAGATCATGTTGATGATCATATTGATGATCATGTTGTTGATCCATAACCTATTCATATCAATGATGATACTCCTAAACCTGCCAAAAATGAAGCACAGATCAATGAAGAGATCAATGAAGGGCAGACAGTTGATGCAGAAGCAGAAAAGGAAAGGGATGTTACTAAGGAAGTAGCCACAGTTCTTAGTAACATTCAAGAGGAGTTAGCTGCAGAAGGGGCTGATAATCTAAGGTAGGGTTAGGTGTTTCGGGTTATGGGTTAAGTGTTTAGGCTAGGTGTTTAAGTGGTTTAGTGTTTAGGCTAGGTGTTTACATGGGAACATGGGTAAGGAACAGGAACTAGTTCCTGAGAATGAGGAACTCAAAGTTTGACTAGCAAGGAACACTCGCAATACTAATCAAGGATAGGTATGGTTAGAGTTGAACACTCACTGTACTAACCATAAGACAAGCTAACCCCGAAAACTCCGAGTTAAGCTCACAAACTCGAGTCCACGAGTTCAAGTAACTTGAATCCACAAGTTAAAACAAGAAATAACACAAGATATATTTCAAAAGTAAATATTTCATTCATAATAATCTGATTACAAAAGCTAGACTAGACTTCCTTTTATAGACTAAGGAAGTAGTTACATTAATTAACTGACTTAGCTAATTTAATAAAAGGAACTTAAAAGTCACCAGCAAAAGGGAACTCAACAGTCGCCACAATGAGCAGTCCCTCAATGTAACAGTTCCATGCAAACCATCATACATTGAAGACTAATAATTACTGATGTTCCTTAACGAGTTCCTTAATCAGTTCCTTAGAGAACTCGCTGTAGATGCGCCCAGCTTTCTCCCTTATAACGGCTAACAGTTACAACTTTTATTACAGAAACTTAACTAAGCTAATTACTACTATAAACTGAAAATAAAACATGCAAATAAGTAGTAATAAAAAGCAATTAAACTAAGGAGGTTATACTCCATGAATGGCGCCCAAATAAGTGAATAAAAACCCACTTGAATGCTTACTTAACGTGTGTAACCCCCTCTTTATTTCCCTTGTCTTGGCTGCCTTCAAATCAGAAAGGAACAAGTAATATTCCTCCCCCAATTCTCATGAAAATATCTAAGGCATCCAAGGCAAATTAATTCCATGCTTATTCATCCATCCAAGTCACGCAGGACTTGTACAAAGACGAGGATATGTTGAAACTCATGCGTGGAACATGGTCAAGTTTGGACCCTTGAATGAACAGCCCATGGACAATAGGAACTTGATTCTTTTGGACCCTTGAACGTGTGTTTGGACCACTTGGACCACTTGACTCATTGGCTTTCACGAACTCTTTATCAAGGACCAATTCCGGATCAGATGTAAGCACATATTTCTGATTTTGAACTATAAAATTTGTAACTTCTGTATTATGTTAAACATGGCCTAACTAAGTTTGTTATTTTTTTTTTCCCAGGAGTACAAAAGATTGAAGCACCTTATGGTTACAACACTTCTTCAAATGCTTCTCAACAAAGAAAACCATATGGAATCTAAATTGCTTGCAAATGTGAAGGAATGGGAATCTAAGAAAACAGAAAACGTAAGAATTATTTTATTATATATATATATATAATCATATTTATTTTACACATTCTAACATTTTATTAAACTTCATTACTATTTTAGGCAGCAAAGGAAAAAAAATGAAGATCATTGATGGAAGAAAACAAGATTTGAATGTGAATATTTTGGTTTGAACATGTATGTACTTGGTACATGTGGATATTTTGGGTAGATTTGAACATTTATGTACTAAGTACATGTAAATATTTTCATATGATATTTTGAGTAGATTTGAATATATATATTTTGGGTTAATCTGAATGTTTATATAAATTTTTTATGATATTATAGTATGAAATATTTATGAAGTATTTTTTTTAAGAAACAAATTTTATAATTTTCATTAAGGTAAATCAAAATTTTCAAAAAGTAAAAGAAATGTATTATAAAGTAAATATGATAAGCTTTTCTTTAAGGTTCCCTAAGATTTTTCACTACTTGCACAGTTGCACCTACCCTAATGGCCTAATGATATTGAGACCAAGAGAATGTCTCACCTATGGTCAATTTGAGATATTATCATCAGAAAAAGCTATTATACGTCAATGATTGATAGAAAGACACGAGTTGCGTAAAAGGCCCGAAGACAAGAAAACTATTGCTCAAAATGCTACTTCAATTTTGCATCTTACTATTATTGGGCAATTTTAATGCTTGAAAAATTCTATCGGCATGAATGAGTATGCATGACAGCATCACCCAACCAAGATTAGTTTAAAATTAAGGAGCCTGCGTCACTTTCTTTTGTTCGGAAAGTTATTAATCATTGAGCTGTGGAGTCGTCCCATTGTTTGATAAAAGTTGTGCATTTCATCAATTTACATTAATTATCTTAGTAAACACCTTTAAACATCATCTTTTGTCATTCAATAGGCAACAAAGATATAAAACAAGTAAATAAAGCCAACTTCATTGATATTCTCTGAAAGAAGGATATGGCATGATATAATCTTATAAAAGTGCATCCATATCGTCTTCATCAACTGACTGGTATTCTGGTAGTTTTCTTTTGTCATTGAAATGCGTGAAGTCTGGTATTAGTGGCATAAAATTTTGTTGTCTTTTGGATAATCTATTGGATATCTTACTATGCATCCCAAATAGCAGAATGCAATAATCAAATTGATCTTACCAGAAACCCTGTCTGAATTATTGTCCTTGCTTCTATATAACAGATTCATGTGAAGATATGCTGATTGAGGACTGTTACATTAGTGTGGGGGATGATGGAATAGCAATAAAGAGTGGTTGGGATCAATATGGCACTGCTTATGGCAAGCCCTCTAAAAACATTCTCATCCGAAATCTTGTTGTTCGATCTATGGTCAGGTGAGTGAACTTCAATTATGAATTGTATAATTCCTTTTGAGTTTTTTGCTTTAGTCTAATCATAGAGTAATTTTTTGTGGATGAATGCTCATATTGTGAATTTGTTGTGATGTGAACCGTCGTTGTTGGACCGACTTTGAACATTTTGGTCTTGTAGGTACGAAAATAAGCTCATGGAATCATCTCAATTTTAGTTTTGACTGAGAGTGTTCAGCTCTTTTTATAACTCTCCCCAATATTTCTACCACGCTATCGCTCACAGATCCCACCCAAGGAAAAGTACATTACAAAGTTGAGTAATAACTTTTTTATTAGTTTCCTCATTTAGCACTTTAAGTTTGATGGTGCTAAGATCCATCTGGTCACATTTAATCATTACAAAGGGGAAAAAAATATATCAAGAATAATGCAATTTTGACTATCAAATATAAGAAATGAGGGAGCCCCAGTTTCTCATAGTGAGAAACAAAATTTGTTTCTCACATGGCATTTTTGGAAATAAACCAACAACTTTATTCAATTGTGGAGCCCACAATAATGAAAAAGTTGTTGATTTATTCACGAAAATGCCCCCATGAGAAACAAATTTCGTTTCTCACCATGAAGCAGGGAATTTCCCATAAGGTTAGATCTATAGACGATTTCGTAACCTCAATTTTTTTCAAGAGTTAGCCGAATATATTACTCCGTATATTGAAATTAGGTCCATGATCCTATCTTGTAGCAGTGAGGATTTATGAAGATAAAGTGCTATGACTGGGTTGTAACATGTCATGAATCTCATGATAGTAGGTCAATATGCTGAGTTTTTTTTGCCAATCTTTTATATTTGCAGTTCAAGAACATTGGAACTTGCTCATATTACCTCTGAACTCGTGAACTCTCTGTAAAATTTGACAATATTAACTAAAAAGTTGCTTTAATTGGTAAATAATTTGCCAATTCTTTCAGGTTTCGTTTATGAGATGCTGGAATTTGGAAAGTTGATGTTCAACACACTAAGACTGGATTATGAAGAGCGATTTCTCATGTAAGCAATTAAATGTGAATATCACTTAATTACATACACATGGGAAGCTTACTTGTTCCCCTATTATATTGGTTGTTATAGGATCCACAAGGAGCAGATTGAGAAGGGTGATTGATGCAACTAACGAGGAAATGAATGATCGCCTGAATAATGTCAAATGCCTACTTTGTATTTGCGAAACAACACCGATAACAAAATCACCCGAGAAATAACATCTAACTTGGGGAACCATGCGCATCGCACGCGGGTTTTATTTATTTTTTAATGAGATACTGATATCTTCTATGCACATAAATTCTTTCTGGGTTGTAATTTAAGTCGGATAATTTAATTTGTACCCCTAATTTTTATGGCAATGCAAGTAAGAAGTGAAAGAGGAAAGAGGATTTTATGCAAAATTTACTATAATAATCGATAGCTTTTGGGGAAAGATATGGTTGGAGATATATATATATATATATATATATATATATATATATATATATATAGAGAGAGAGAGAGAGAGAGAGAGAGAGAGAGAGAGAGAGAGAGAGAGAGAGAGAGAGAGAGAGAGAGAGATGGCCTAGGTCTTGGGAGTTGAGAGAGAAAGGCCTAAAGAGAAAGGGAGAGAGATTGGAAGAAAGAGGGAGATATAGAGAAGCCAAGAGAAATAGATGGGTTGGGGGATAGGGAGAGTGTTAAGGAGAGAAAGGGAGCAAGTACGAGGACTAGGAAAGAAATAAAGAAAGAGAAATAAATTAAGGAATAAATTAAAGAGAAATAAATCTCAATTCAACATGATTTCAATTTAAAATTGGACAGTTGATCAACATATTTTTTTTCATCTACGATTATCAATATTTTACCAATTTCATAAACTTAGATAAAGTTGCCTACTATTCCACTCTTTTTTATAATTTACTCTAAACAAATGAAACCTACTAATATCGTCATTCCTTTTTTCAATTTGTTTTGGATTTGCCACTTAACCTCATACCTAATATCTTTTATATTAGTTCGCGTTTTACCAATCAATTTGTAAACATTTTATGTATCACTTTTTTTTCGCAATTATAGAACAATACTTTCCCAAAATAAAAACTTAGTCATGCATTCTTTATTTATAACAAAAATTATCCTTAAAAAACTTTCCTCCACTTCATTAGGTATTACATATTGTCATTATGAAACTTAATCATACTTAACTAAGCCATTAATAATTTTAGCAAATATTGAAAACGGTAAATGCACACTACATTAAACACACCAATACTATTACTTTAAAACTTTTTCATCTAACCTCTTTAAACTTGCATATACATTAAATACGCCTCTAATGATAAAAATTTCCACATCATACCTTCCATTTAATTTCACGAAATTGGAGAGGCGCTCTAACAACTAGTGAATTACAGTTTCACAAAAGTATATATATATATATATATATATATATATATATATATATATATATATATATAATGATTCTTTGTTCAATCTGTAATCCATCTAGATCTTCAACAGCTTAATTCATCATGAAAATTCCAAATACAGAGGTACCTATAGGAGTTTGCACAAAATAAAAAATAATGAAAAGTAAATCGAAAATGAAGAAAAGTAAATCAATTATAATGAAAAGTAAATGAAACAGAAACAAAAGTAGAATACCTTAAAAACTACTTGTTTGGACAGTTTCTACTATCATGTGAAACTCCAGATTGCCTACAAGCTCTACAAGTTCTTCCCTTTTTGGATTTTTCTTCAAAGGCTATTTCTTTAGCACTTTTCAAGCGCTTAGAGCTTCTAGCAGAACATTTGTTAAGGCATTGATTTGAGGCAAGATGTTTACATCTACCTTATTTGATCCAACTAGAAGCTCAATATCAGCTTCTTTAAGTTCTTTAGAAGTTCCACCTTCACCATTTTTCATTTTCATCATTTCTTCCTCAAATGAAGTCAAAACTCTTAATAAGATCAGATAGATCATCCTCACATTACTTTGCTAAACTAACACAAGAGAACATCTTGGACCACACATCAAAAATTAACTACTTCTTTTTATCAAACTTAGAAACATCATCCACACATTGAAAATTACCAATCAATGAAGCATTATTCAAAACATCTTTAGTCCAACGATTCAAAACATAACGATCAGGAATTTCATAAATGGATTTACCTTTCATAATGAATAGTAAGTGTTTGCACAATATACCCTAACTCTCGTACATCTTGCAGGTACAAGTGCACTCATGTGTGGATAAATCAAAAGTAACATCAAAATTTTTCCTCCGTCCGTTATCCACAATAATAGAAAACTCAACACCATCACCATAAAGAAAGTTACAACTCTCTACCCCACATGAATAACAGGCAGCCTCACATTCCTGTTGAAACTCATAAAAAATAGCACGAGTGTAAACAAGAGATGCATGTTTTTCCAATTGTAACTGAGTGACCAATTGAGGCATGGACTTGTTTAGTCTAGTAAGCTCATCCTGTTCACGCCTATGAGCATCCAATGCAGTTTCATAGCGAAGAATAAACTTGACACAAGTAACATGAGGGTTGATAAAGTTACAAAAGAAGTTATTCTCACCCTCAGATCTAGAAGTAGATCTTAACCCACCCATAAATAACTCTCTGAAATAGGCAGGGATCCAAAGGTGCTTAATATTGAACATATGAACAAACCACTCATGATTTTGCAACCCAAATTCTTGTAAAACAAGATTCCAACCCTGAACAAACTCATAAGGTTCTATCTCCCTATCCCAGAATACTGCACTTAGTTTCTTCAAGAAATCAGTTCCTTGGCACAACTGAGGACCAACCCGACCTTACGCATAATGTGCCACATGCACAGCCTATGCTTGGTTCCTGTAAACACCTTCTCAATGGCAATACCCATGGCAGGGTCTTGATCTGTAATAATGCAGGAAGGTTTCTTTCCCATACACCTTAATAATGTCTGAAATAGCCAAACAAAAGATTCTATATCTTCTTTGGAAAGAAAAGCAGCACAAAAAATAATAGATCTTTTATGGTGATCTACACCAGTGAAAGGAAAGAACACCAAAGAATACTTGTCTGTGTCATTAGTCGTATCAAAAGAAATAGTCACCAAACAACTGAAAATATAATCCTTCCTACGTATAAGATCTGCCCAAAATGCTCGTGTTAGATGCCTATTTGCATCAACACAATAATAAAAAAAATAACTACCCTTACTATTCTTAATTCTCTCCTCAAATTTTGAACAAACATGGCACCATCAGCATCCAATATATACACTTTCAAGTCACGATAAAAGTTTTTGAAGTCATTTTTACTACATTTAACATGTTTATACCCACCACACATTTCTTTCATAAATCTATACGACATCAAAGCACCAATATTCAACTTAGCATTATCAAATATGATTTTTTTGTGAACATAAGTAATGCCAACTTCACATTTATTAACTTGTCTGGTAATAGGAGTCGCAAAAGGATGACAGTGAGATTCATAAAAATGATGGATCATATATTTCCCCCCACTACAATATCTAAACTTAATTCTTGCACCACATCCAACTCTCTTCACTAACTTCTTCTTCAAAACTGCACTATCAACATTTTTCTCAACTCTACTCTTATTAGTTGACACAAACCATTCTTTGCTACATAAAATATACTTGATTATTACAAGTCCCCTTTTCTCCATTAGGACCAATCACGTTCTTATCTGTTTTAGTAGTACTAAAACGAATTTTAAATCCACATTCATTAGCATATACTTGGAATAAAAATCAATTCCATCTTGGAGACTATCAAATTTCATTCCCAAAACAGGTTTTTTTTGCAAAGAACAACCAGGAATGTACTCTTTTTCACCTTTAGAATTATGCAATATCCTAGGAACCACATGCTGAGAAGGTGTTTTCAAAATGCTTACACTAACATCTGCAGGAGTAACAATAGAAGATGAATGTTCAACAACATTACCATATGTAGAAGTCACAGCAGAGGAAGACTGATCAACTACATTAACATCTCTAGAAGTCACAGCAGAGGAACACTCAACTGGTTCATTCATCTTCCTGAAATGTAAATAATTCAAAGTACAAAGTAAATAAAACGGATATAAAGTAAAACAAACAAAAATAAAAGTTAAATAATAAGAATGCAGCAGTAAAAATAAGTAAAAGGTAGCAGAATGTACAAAATCAATGAATAAACGAGAATCAAAAAGACAAACATAAGTAATTGATACATCTTCCTGAAAGTAAATGATTCATATTATAAAGTAGATGAAAAGTCACATAAAGTAAAACGAAAAACATAATAGTGAAAGAATAAGAATTTAGTACCAGAATTTGTTGAAAATAAACGAATAAATTAAAAAGGAAAACATAAAAAACATAAAAAAAGTGAAACAAACATAATAAAAGTGAACTAGAAGAATTAAGCAGGAGTAATAATAAAAAGTAGAGGATGTAAAGTTTAAAGTAAATAAAACACCATAAAAAGTAAAACAAACAAAAATAAAAGTTAGATAATAAGAATACAGCAGTAACAATTACTAAAAGATAACAGAATGTACAAAATCAATGAATAAACCAGAAGCAAAAAGAAAAACATAAGTAAGTGTAAAAGCCCTAAATCAGAAATAAAAAAAACCCTAAATCATAAAAACAAAACCCTAAATTGAACACTAAGTCGTAGAAAATCAATCAGGGAACAATTAACAAGAAAGAATAAACTAATTTGATAAAATTTACAATAACAAAACCCTAAATCGCGAAAATTTTAACGAATTAAACAGAAGAATTGAAATAAACAATGAAAATCAAAAACAGAAAAAAAAAATTACCACAATGATAACAAAAATCGAAGAATACGAAGTAAAAGAAGATCGAAATCAAAGAATTTGACAAATCAATGAGCGCAAGAGAAGAATTCAAATTGCGAAAAATCGCCTTTGAGAGAATTCGAAGGTAGAGAGAGAATGCGGAAGAAGAGAGAAAGAAAATGAAGCAGCGCATGAAAAAGAAGCGAGGTCATTCAACTGACGAAATTACAAAAATACCCTTAATGAAATTGAAAAAGGCGGGTGAAACACTACGAGCTGTCAGATTGAGAGCGATCAACGGTTTAATGACATTTTGGTATAAAACCAACAAGTATGAGACCTCCACTTTATTACTATTACTTGGTTAGTATTTTCGTAGCAATGTATTTGGTTTAGAATATTGTAATGATTTCCCCAAGTAAGAACTAAGAAGCATACAACATTAAAAGACACATTCTTTTAGAGAAAAAATGATCTTGATTGAATAGCTTATGCTCCTCCTTCTATGCCTTCTCTAATAATGTGTCTCCTTATTGATTTTTCTTCCTCTATTCTTTAATTTTATGGTTGAATCGATTCATCTTTTGATTTTCAGTGTATTTATTTTGGATGATCATGTTTGTAAGTTTTTGAAAATTAAACCAAGGTTTCTTAGTTTGACTCTCTCTCTCTCTCTTCTTCTTCTTCTTCTTCTTCTTCTTCTTCTTTTTTTGTCTATGTCTGTTTGTTATTATTGGCTCTAATAGTATTTCTATGACAATATGTCCTTGAAATTACTATCAAAGTGCGTGCTCTTTCATTTTTACTATTAATTAACTGTCTCTAACATTTTTCGGCTTCTTTTAAAAATTAATTTTGAAAATTTCTTTTTCTTCACGAACTTGGATATTTCAGTAGTTTTTTATTTTTATTTTTTATATTATGATGTTTACGGTGTGATCCTAATTATTTTTACTAATATTTTGTGAATTAAACTATGATAGCCAAATGAGACCTTTTTTTTTTACATATAAAATGAGACTCTAAATAGAAATTTTTGGCCTCAACTAGCTATACTCCATAAGGAATCAACTAAGGTAATTTTCGTAAATAAAAAAAAACCCTATCTATATACTAAATTTTAGTACCAACGAAATATATATGTAATACCATCCTTAGTAGTATCTAAATAACATCCTACGATAATTTGCTTTAATTGGTATTGTTCTAGTATTGCGGTTAGTATCATATTTAACAAGTATTGTTGTTGGTATATCTTGTTATATTGTTGGTATCTTAACCACGTTTATTTTGAATTTGTTGGTATCTAGCTGTGTTGAATTGGTATCAGAGTCATACAGTTAAATTTAAGCTAATTTTATAATTAAATTAGTAATAAAGTAAAACTGGAGAATACTAGGCCTTCTACCGAGTGTAAGAAACCTGATTTTAAGCATTACTATCACATTCCTGAAAATACTAGTAATTTTGGCCCAATCCTTAATTATATAGCAGATCAAATTGATAAATTAAAATCAAAAGTTGATAATATATATGCTCGTTGTATTAATATTGAAAACAAAATATCAATAACTACAACCGATATTAATAAAAAAAGTAAGTGAGCTAAAAGAACAAGTTAAACAAGTACAACTTGCTTTAACAAACGAAGTTAGACATCAAGCTAATAAAGAAGTATCACCTAATAAGGAAAAGTTGTCCCTTATAAATATAAATATTCTTTTCAAAATCTGGATAAAAATAAGAAGTTTACTGTGTCACTCCCTAAAAGACCTACTAGTAACCAATAAAAGAACAAAGAGACTAAAGATGAGCCATCATCTTCAGGAGAAAACGATTGAAGAATTGCAAATCTTATTTGATAAAGAAGAAGAACCTGATAAGCTAAACGAAATCATGAAAATATTTCTGAAAAAGAGATTGTGATGAAGAAGTAGAGGAAAATAATTATGTTTCTTTAAAGGAAGATTATATCAACAAATGGGATTAATGAAGTTAGATGATCTAGACTTTCTATCTATTGAAGTTGTTCAACAAAAGATTGAAAACAAACTAGGTAAAGAGTAATGGATAATAATGATGTTGGAGAAGAAATTATTAATGAAAACATTAATGTAAACAATGTTATCCAAAGACCTAGGTATCAAGGAGAAGGAAGTTGCACACGACTAAGATACATACCAGGGAAGACTACCCGATTTATTGTCAAGGTTATGCCTAATCAAATACCTAAACAAGAAGAAGTAACTCTTGAACCCATAAGTCAAACTGATTATAAGCTTAAATTAGATGGTGTAAGAGATAGACAAGATGTTTAAGATCAGTGGAAAAAGAGCATGAGTAGTGTACTAAATTTAAACACTGAATGGACTTCTGAAAATTTCTTAAACTATATCGAACATAGCTTTTATGGCTATGTAGAAGACTAATATGATGGTATAGATGAAGAAGTCAAAACTACATTAAGAGCTAGTGAATCTCCTACTATAATGTTTCGGCAGTTATGTCAATACATTGAGTTAGAATTCATTGGTCATAGAGCTGATCCTAATGAAAAACTAATGGAATATTAAAGAAAGTTAAGTAATTTGTCAATCTATAATATGAAATATGTCGAGAGCTACATTATGGAATTTGAAACATATTATTATAAAATTGATGAAAATGAAACAAATCTTGGAATGTTCTATGATAAATTACCAAGTCCTCTTAGAAGAAATTAGTGAAAAATACCAAGAATGGAGAGAGAAATTCTTAGCTAGAGATGCCCTAGGTAATAGAATTACTTTCCTAAGAAAATGGAATGAAAAGAAATGTAGAGAAGTTGCGGGAACTCAACAAATGAAAAGGCAATTTCTCACTTGTTGGGATTTCCCAAATAACTATGGATGTGAAAGAAAAAACAATAACAAGAGAAAGAATTATAAGAAAAATAAATTTGACAAATCAAGAGGAGAAACCTATAAGAAGTACTATAAACATAAATATAGAAAACCCAGTAGGTTTTTCAGAAAAGAAACATATTGTCCTGAGAAGAAGAAAACATGCAAGTGTAAGTCTTGAGGAGAATTAGGACATTATGCTAATGAATGTAAGAAAGCTAATCATAAACTAATGGAAGCCTTAAGAAGTTAGGACTACATAGAACTACCAGAAGACGGGGCGTTAGAATTGGCTTTGAGTAATAATAAAGGAATACTAGAGATAATAGAGAAAGAAAATGAAAACAATGAAGAACCTGAAGACAGTGAATTTGAAGAAGAAAATTATGAAGAAATAAATAATATGATGGAAGAGGAAGTATTAAAAAACTCAGAATCAGATGATGATGAGGATAAAAGTAAAATGACTATAGGTCAACTAAAAAGAACTGAGTATTCAATTGAAGATAAAGACCTAGATCAAATGAACAAAGAAAGTTGGAATTTTCTCCAGATTACTAAAGATAAAATATTTAAAACTTCTTTGTTTAAAACTAGAATTAAATATGTATGTGAGAAAATGGAAGGAAGTATAGTAATCGAGGATTGCAAAAAGAAAGCAGCAGAAATTAATATCATAAACTGGAAAAGCATTAAGAACCATAAAGAAAAAGGAAATTATAGTTATATTTGTATTGGTGCAGTACAAGTATACATTACTCCTTTACAAGATTTTGGCAAGGATGTTAAATGTCTAACCTTTGTTTGTGATGTTAGACATAAAGAGTTCTATGATCAAATAATTAGTGGTATCACATGTAATTTAAGTCAAGGAACAGTAAGCTACATATGTGAACCTAGATATTATGTTAGCCTAGAAGATTCGTTTGCTTCAAAGTTTTGGCTATCAAGTTATTAACCGATGGAGTTAAAATGCATAAAGGAACTCGACCTATACAGTTAAGATGGAAGGTAGTCTATAAGTTGGTATACACTATAGATTCATCTTTCAAGAAACAAATAGTTGATGATCAGAAATATGAGCAAGGAGCAGGCCCTAAGAAGAAAATTACCCCTACAAAAGTAAATCCTAATGAGATTGAAATTGAAAAAACTTGGGAAGAATTCTTCATGAATCCTGCAGTTAATAATAGGTCAAGTAAGCTGTTAATTGATGAATCAGGATTGCTTCATATTGGGATAACTACAAAACCTAAAATGCAGAGAAGTATGAGTCTTAGATCACCAAGTCTAAGTAGACAAAATTCAACTTTAATAAATATGAAAAAACAAGTCGAGGAAAATCCAGAATAGGATGAAGAA